CTGCAGCTCATTGGCAAGCTGACCATCTAACCCGGACTCGAGATGGAGATTGTGCTCAGAGGCTGCAGCCCATTGGTAAGCGTGACCATTCCCAACTCCGTGACTGGAGAACTCAGAGGCTGCAGGGGCAGCGGACGCGTGACTGGATTGGAGACTGTGCCTTCAGAGGCTGCAGCTCATTGGCAAGCGTGACCATTCCCAACTCCGTGACTGGGATTGGAGATTGTGCCTTCAGAGGCTGCAGCTCATTGGCAAGCGTGACCATTCCCAACTCCGTGACTGGGATTGGAGATTGTGCCTTCAGAGGCTGCAGCTCATTGGCAAGCGTGACCATTCCCAACTCCGTGACTGGGATTGGAGATTGTGCCTTTACAGGCTGCAGCTCATTGGCAAGCGTGACCATTCCCAACTCCGTGACTGGGATTGGAGATCATGCCTTTGCAGGCTGCAGCTTATTGGCAAGCGTATCGGAGTACGAGCTTTCGAAGGCTGCATCTTCCTTTTGGAGTCAGATGGGACATGAAGACTTTTGCAGCTTGGAGTATGGCGACAATGTTGCTAATGCGGGTTTCCAACCCCCAGTTTGTAGAACATGCGATCCCCGGGTTCCTAGTTTTCAGAGTTGCCCCCATGTTGCCGCGCGCTTGCGCGCCCGAACTTGGCGTCAAGCCCTTCGAAAGCGCGACGCTTGGCCCCGGAGCCGTTTCGGTTACATGATGTGGCCGGTTCGGTGATTCCGACAACGGCCGTGATCTGGTACGGCGCCAATAAGTAAGTGGGGGGCGGGCCAGGGCGGAAGGCCTCGGAAGTGTAATGTGTCCTGGCAACTTATGGAAGATCAAATCAAAATGGGGTCGCGCCCAAACAAAGTTTCCTCTTGACTCAACCGAGGGTGGAGTTCATGTGAAACGCAGGGGTGATCTTTTACATACAAGTCCGGACTTGTTTGGGACATCCTAGGTGCAACGATCCAAGGGGCCCCGGATATGCCCTGACCCAACAAGCTCACCACTGGGGAAACGAGCTCAACTGTCTCACTCATGAAGGTTCAATACAAGGGTATTTCTTATTTCAGCTGAGCGCACAAAACCCCGAAAGGGCCGTTTTTGGAGGTGGTTCTGCCTTGTTTAGCTAGGGTTGTGACCCACTCGTCAGCGGACAAATCGACTTGTCTGGGCCAACCCACTCAAAAAGTGAGATATGGGCGGGGGTAGTTGGAGAATATCGAGTGGGTGTGATTTTCTGGGTTGCATTTCGGCAACGAGCGTTCGCCCTTGAAGATGGAATATCCTCCACTCTTTCATGAAAGTGCACGTTCGGCCCTTCAAGACGACGTTCCTAGAAGGCGAGCCTGTGCACTTTCATGTTGGGAGGCCATTGTGTCCATGCTCAATGATTTGGATCGGCGTACTTTATGCTGTCACGCTGGAGTCTACATCACCCTGCCGTTCGCACCTTCTAAGTGCCCCCCCCCCTTTGCCCCGGTTTATTTGCATGTGGAACGTAGGTGCTGCCATGGTCATGGTTCCGAAGCAACGGAGGTTAGTTCCCTTGGCTAGAACCAACTTTGTGGGTCAACATCCCGTAAGAATGAAGCAGAGTTGGCTCAATTGTCTGCTTGCCCAACAAACAGGTCGCAACCCTGACGGAATTGTTTGCGCACCGAAGAAACTCCGGGGCTTCAACTGGGCTGGCCATGCTGTGAACAACCGATCCAGATACATGTTTTGAGGACACCCCTTTTGGGGGTGGTTTTAAGGAAGCCACATGTTTGGGAGGTCAAACGGTATGCCAGCCATGACGAGGGAGATTGCCGTAAGACAGCTGTCTGGGGAGGAAGACTCATTCGTAGTGTCCGCCCACACGACCATCCGTGAATTCAAGAGGCAGCTGCACGCGTGGCTTCCCTGCGAAGATGAATCCAAGCGCAACATGAGCTCGGTGGAGGTGGTTGTTGGAGACAAGCACCTATTGAACAAAGAGGAGCTAGTGTCAGAGGCCATTCCAGGTGCAGAAGTCCTAGCTTTCCTCAGCATCCAACCGGTAGTGTGCTCAAGCTTCCAAGCCTCCAGCTGCAAAGTGGAAGATTTGTTGGTTGTGGAGATTCCCGGAGACGTGATTGCGATTGAGGATGCTGCCTTCAAAGGCTGCAGCTCATTGGCAAGCGTGACCATTCCCAACTCCGTGACTGGGATTGGAGATGATGCCTTTGCAGGCTGCAGCTTATTGCCAAGCGTAACCATCCCCACCTCCGTGAATGTCATAGGAGATGGTGCCTTTGCAGACTGCAGCTCATTGGCAAGCGTGACCATTCCCAACTCCGTGATTGGGATTGGATACCTTACCTTCAGAGGCTGCAGCTCGTTGGCAAGCGTGACCATTCCCATCTCCGTGAATGTCATTGGAGATCATGCCTTTGCAGGCTGCAGCTTATTGGCAAGCGTGACCATTCCCAACTCCGTGAGGTATATAGAAACATATGTATTCGAAGGCTGATTGGCAAGCGTGACAATTCCCAACTCTGTGACTGAGATTCGGGAACATGCCTTTCAAGGTTGCTGCTCATGGGCAAGTGTCACTATTCCCAACTCTGTGACTGGGATTGGAGATTATGCCTTTGCAGGCTGCAGCTTATTGGCAAGCGTGACCATCCCCAACTCCGTGAATGTCATTGGAGATTGTTTTTTTGAAGGCTGCAGCTCATTGGCAAGCGTGACCATTCCGGACCCCATGACTGAGATTGGAGATTATGCCTTTGCAGGATGCAGGTCATTGGCAAGCGTGACCATTCCCCACTCCGTGACTGGGATTGGAAATGCTGCCTTTAAGGGCTGCAGCTCATTGGCGAGCGTGACCATTTCCAACTCTGTGACTGCGATTGGAGATTATGCCTTTACAGGATGCAGCTCATTGGCAAGCGTGACCATTCCCAACTCCGAGACTTGTATCGGAGAACGTGCCTTTGAAGGCTGCATCTTCCTTTTGGAGTCAGATGGGACATGAAGGCTTTTGTAGCTTGGAGTATGGCGACAATGTTGCTAATGTGGGTTTCCACCCCCCAGTTTGTAGAACGTGCGATCCCCGGGTTCCTAATTTTGAGTGTTTCCCAATGTTGCCGCGCGCTTGCACGCCCGAACTTGGCGTCAAGCCCTTCGAAAGCGCGACGCTTGGCCCCGAAACCGTTTCTGTCACATGATATGGCCGGTTCGGTGATTCCGAGGGCCGTGATCTGGTGCGGCGCCAAAAAGAAAGTGGGGGGCGGGCCAGGGCGGAAGGCGTCGGAAGTGTAATGTTTCTTTGCGAATCATGGAAGATCAAATCAAAATAGGGTCGCGCTCAAACGAAGTTTCCTCTTGACTCATGTGAAACGCAGGGGTGATCTTTTACAGACAAGTCCGGACTTGTTTGGAACATCCTAGGTGCAACGATCCAAGGGCCCCGGATGTGCCCTGACCCAACAAGCTCACCACTGGGGAAACGAGCTCAACTGTCTCACTCATGAAGGTTCAATACAAGGGTATTTCTTATTTTCAGCTGAGCGCCCAAAACCCCGAAAGGGCCGTTTTTGGAGGTGGTTCTGCCATGTTTAGCTAGGGTTGTGACCCACTCGTCGGCGGACAAATCGACTTGTCTGGGCCAACCCACTCAGGAAGTGAGATATGGGCAGGGGTAGTTGGAGAATATCGAGTGGGTGTGACTTTCTGGGTTGCATTTCGGCAACGAGCGTTCGCCCTTGAAGACGGAATAATATCCTCCACTCTTTCATGAAAGTGCACGTTCGGCCCTTCAAGACGACGTTCCTAGAAGGCGAGCCTGTGCACTTTCATGTTGGGAGGCCATTGTGTCCATGCTCAATGATTTGGATCGGCGTACTTTATGCTGTCACGCTGGAGTCTACATCACCCTGCCGTTCGCACCTTCTAAGTGCCCCCCCCCTTTGCCCCGGTTTATTTGCATGTGGAACGTAGGTGCTGCCATGGTCATGGTTCCGAAGCAACGGAGGTTAGTTCCCTTGGCTAGAACCAACTTTGTGGGTCAACATCCCGTAAGAATGAAGCAGAGTTGGCTCAATTGTCTGCTTGCCCAACAAACAGGTCGCAACCCTGACGGAATTGTTTGCGCACCGAAGAAACTCCGGGGCTTCAACTGGGCTGGCCATGCTGTCAACAACCGATCCAGATACATGTTTTGAGGACACCCCTTTTTGGGGGTGGTTTTAAGGAAGCCACATGTTTGGGAGGTCAACCGGTATGCCAGCCATGACGAGGGAGATTGCCGTAAGACAGCTGTCTGGGGAGGAAGACTCATTCGTAGTGTCCGCCCACACGACCATCCGTGAATTCAAGAGGCAGCTGCACGCGTGGCTTCCCTGCGAAGATGAATCCAAGCGCAACATGAGCTCGGTGGAGGTGGTTGTTGGAGACAAGCACCTATTGAACAAAGAGGAGCTAGTGTCAGAGGCCATTCCAGGTGCAGAAGTCCTAGCTTTCCTCAGCATCCAACCGGTAGTGTGCTCAAGCTTCCAAGCCTCCAGCTGCAAAGTGGAAGATTTGTTGGTTGTGGAGATTCCCGGAGACGTGATTGCGATTGAGGATGCTGCCTTCAAAGGCTGCAGCTCATTGGTAAGCGTGACCATTTCCAACTCCGTGACTGGGATTGGAGATGATGCCTTTGCAGGCTGCAGCTTATTGCCAAGCGTGACCATCCCCACCTCCGTGAATGTCATAGGAGATGGTGTCTTTGCAGACTGCAGCTCATTGGCAAGCGTGACCATTCCCAACTCCGTGATTGGGATTGGATACTTTGCCTTCAGAGGCTGCAGCTCGTTGGCAAGCGTGACCATTCCCATCTCCGTGAATGTCATTGGAGATTGTGCCTTCAGAGGCTGCAGCTCATTGGCAAGCGTGACCATTCCCAACTCCGTGACTGAGATTGGAGACTGGGCCTTTCACAGCTGCAGCTCGTTGGCAAGCGTGACCATTCCCAACTCCGTGACTCAGGTAGGAGATGGTGTCTTTGCAGACTGCAGCTCATTGGCAAGCGTGACCGTTCCAATCTCCGTGACTCAGATTGGAGATCATGCCTTTGCAGGCTGCAGCTTATTGGCAAGCGCGACCATCCCCAACTCCGTGAATGTCATTGGAGATTGTGCCTTCAGAGGCTGCAGCTCATTGGCAAGCGTGACCATTCCCAACTCCGTGACTGAGATTGGAGACTGGGCCTTTCACAGCTGCAGCTCATTGGCAAGCTTGACCATTCCCAACTCCGTGACTCAGGTAGGAGATGGTGTCTTTGCAGACTGCAGCTCATTGGCAAGCGTGACCATCCCCAACTCCGTGATTGGGATTGGAAACTTTGCCTTCAGAGGCTGCAGCTCATTGGCAAGCGTGACCATTCCCAACTCTGTGACTGGGATTGGAGATCATGCCTTTGCAGACTGCAGCTCATTGGCAAGCGTGACCATTCCCAACTCCGTGAATCTCATTGAAGATTGTGCTTTCAGAGGCTGCAGCTCATTGGCAAGCATGACAATTCCCAACTCTGTGACCGAGATTCGGGAACATGCCTTTCAAGGTTGCTGCTCACTGGCAAGCGTCGCGATTCCCAACTCCGTGACTGGGATTGGAGATTATTCCTTTGCAGGCTGCAGCTTATTGGCAAGCGTGACCATTCCCAACTCTGTGACTGCGATTGGAGATTGTGCCTTCAGAGGCTGCAGCTCATTGGCAAGCGTGACCATTCCGGACCCCATGACTGAGATTGGAGATTATGCCTTTGCAGGATGCAGGTCATTGGCAAGCGTGACCATTCCCAACTCTGTGACTGCGATTGGAGATTATGCCTTTACAGGATGCAGCTCATTGGCAAGCGTGACCATTCCTGAGTCTGTGACTGAGATTGGAGATCATGCCTTTGCAGGCTGCAGCTTATTGGAAGGCGTGACCATTCCCAACTCCGAGACTTGTATCGGAGTACGAGCTTTCGAAGGCTGCATCTTCCTTTTGGAGGCAGATGGGACATGAAGACTTTTGCAGCTTGGAGTATGGTGACAATGTTGCTAATGTGGGTTTCCAACCCCCAGTTTGTAGAACATGCGATCCCCGGGTTCCTAATTTTGAGTGTTTCCCCCATGTTGCCGCGCGCTTGCACGCCCGAACTTGGCGTCAAGCCCTTCGGAAGCGCGACGCTTGGCCCCGGAGCCGTTTCGGTCACATGATATGCCCATATGGCCAGTGATTCCGACAACGGCCGTGATCTGGTACGGCGCCAAAAAGAAAGTAGGGGGCGGGCCAGGGCGGAAGGCGTCGGAAGTGTAATGTTTCTTTGCGAATCATGGAAGATCAAATGGGTGGAGTTCATGGAAACGCAGGGGTGATGTTTTACAGACAAGTCCGGACTTGTTTGGGACATCCTAGGTGCAACGATCCAAGGGCCCCGGATGTGCCCTGACCCAACAAGCTCACCACTGGGGAAACGAGCTCAACTGTCTCACTCATGAAGGTTCAATACAAGGGTATTTCTTATTTTCAGCTGAGCGCCCAAAACCCCGAAAGGGCCGTTTTTGGAGGTGGTTTGTTTAGCTAGGGTTGTGACCCACTCGTCGGCGGACAAATCGACTTGTTTGGGCCAACCCACTCAGGAAGTGAGATATGGGCGGGGGTTGTTGGAGAATATCGAGTGGGTGTGACTTTCTGGGTTGCATTTCGGCAACGAGCGTTCGCCCTTGAAGATGGAATATCCTCCACTGTTTCATGAAAGTGCACGTTCGGCCCTTCAAGTCGACGTTTCTAGAAGGCGGGCCTGCGCACTTTCACGTTGGGAGGCCATTGTCTCCATGCTCAATGATTTGGATCGGCGTACTTTATGCTGTCACGCTGGAGTCTAAATCACCCTGGAGTTCTCACCTTCTAAGTGCCCCCCTCGCCCCGGTTTACCTGGATGTTGAACATACACTGTCGGTAGGTGCTGCCATGGTCATGGTTCCGAAGCAACGGAGGTTAGTTCCCTTGGCTAGAACCAACTTTGTGGGTCAACATCCCGTAAGAATGAAGCAGAGTTGGCTCAATTGTCTGCTTGCCCAACAAACAGGTCGCAACCCTGACGGAATTGTTTGCGCACCGAAGAAACTCCGGGGCTTCAACTGGGCTGGCCATGCTGTCAACAACCGATCCAGATACATGTTTTAAGGACACCCCTTTTTGGGGGTGGTTCAGAGAGAGGTTTTAAGGAAGCCAAATGTTTGTGAGGTCAAACGGATGCCAGCCATGGCGAGGGAGATTGCTGTGAGACAGCTGTCTGGGGAGGAAGACTCATTCGTAGTGTCCGCCCACACGACCATCCGTGAATTTAAGAGGCAGCTGCACGCGTGGCTTCCCTGCGAAGATGAATCCAAGCGCAACATGAGCTCGGTGGAGGTGGTTGTTGGAGACAAGCCCCTGGTGAACAAAGAGGAGCTAGTGTCAGAGGCCATTCCAGGTGCAGAAGTCCTAGCTTTCCTCAGCATCCAGCCGGTAGTGTGCTCAAGCTTCAAAGCCTCCGGCTGCAAAGTGGAAGATTTGTTGGTTGTGGAAATTCCCGGAGACGTGATTGCGATTGATGATGATGCCTTCAAAGGCTGCAGCTCATTGGCAAGCGTGACCATTTCAAACTCTGTGACTGGAATCGGATTCGCTGCCTTTGAAGGCTGCAGCTCGTTGGCAAGCGTGACCATTCCCAACTCCGTGACTCAGATTGGACAGAGTGCCTTTGCACGCTGTAGCTCATTGGCAAGCGTGACAATTCCCAACTCCGTGACTGAGGTAGGAGATAATGTCTTTGCAGACTGCAGCTCATTGGCAAGCGTGACCATTCCCAACTCCGTGACTGCGATTGGAGACTGGGCCTTTGACGGCTGCAGCTCATTGGCAAGCTTGACCATTCCCAATTCTGTGACTGGGATCAGTGATTTTGCTTTTGCAGGCTGCAGCTCATTGGCAAGCGTGACCATCCCCAACTCCGTGGATGTCATTGGAGGTTGTGCCTTCAGAGGCTGCAGCTCATTGGCAAGCATGACCATTCCCAACTCCGTGAGGTATGTAGAAGAATATGTATTCAAAGGCTGCAGCTCATTGGCAAGCGTGACAATTCCCAACTCTGTGACCGAGATTCGGGAACGTGCCTTTCAAGGTTGCTGCTCACTGGCAAGCGTCACTATTCCCAATTCTGTGACTGGGATCAGCGAGTATGCTTTTGCAGGCTGCAGCTCATTGGCAAGCGTGACCATCCCTAACTCCGTCAATGTCATTGGAGATTGTGCCTTCAGAGGCTGCAGCTCATTGGCAAGCGTGACCATTCCCAACTCTGTGACTGCGATTGGAGATTTTGCCTTTGCAGGCTGCAGCTTATTGGCAAGCGCGACCATCCCCAACTCCGAGACTTGTATCGGAGAAGGTGCCTTTCAAGGCTGCATCTTCCTTTTGGAGTCAGATGGGACATGAAGACATTTGTAGCTTGGAGTATGGCGACAATGTTGCTAATGCGGGTTTCCAACCCCCAGTTTGTAGAACATGCGATCCCCGGGTTCCTAATTTTCGGAGTTGCCCCCATGTTGCCGCACGCTTGCGCGCCCGAACTTGGCGTCAAGCCCTTCGAAAGCGCGACGCTTGGCCCCGAAACCGTTTCGGTCACATGATATGGCCGGTTCGGTGATTCCGAGGGCCGTGATCTGGTGCGGCGCCAAAAAGAAAGTGGGGGGCGGGCCAGGGCGGAAGGCCTCGGAAGTGTAATGTTTCTTTGCGAATCATGGAAGATCAAATCAAAATAGGGTCGCGCTCAAACGAAGTTTCCTCTTGACTCATGTGAAACGCAGGGGTGATCTTTTACAGACAAGTCCGGACTTGTTTGGAACATCCTAGGTGCAACGATCCAAGGGCCCCGGATGTGCCCTGACCCAACAAGCTCACCACTGGGGAAACGAGCTCAACTGTCTCACTCATGAAGGTTCAATACAAGGGTATTTCTTATTTTCAGCTGAGCGCCCAAAACCCCGAAAGGGCCGTTTTTGGAGGTGGTTCTGCCATGTTTAGCTAGGGTTGTGACCCACTCGTCGGCGGACAATTCGACTTGTTTGGGCCAACCCACTCAGGAAGTGAGATATGGGCGGGGGTAGTTGGAGAATATCGAGTGGGTGTGACTTTCTGGGTTGCATTTCGGCAACGAGCGTTCGCCCTTGAAGACGGAATAATATCCTCCACTCTTTCATGAAAGTGCACGTTCGGCCCTTCAAGACGACGTTCCTAGAAGGCGAGCCTGTGCACTCCATGCTCAATGATTTGGATCGGCGTAATATATTCTGTCACGCTGGTAAACCACCCTGCAGTTCGCACCTTCTAAGTGCCCCCCCCTTTGCCCCAGTTTGCCTGGATGTTGAACGTAGGTGCTGCCACGGTCATGGTTCCGAAGCAACGGAGGTTAGTTCCCTTGGCTAGAACCAACTTTGTTGGTGAACATCCCGAGAATGAAGCAGAGTTGGCTCAATTGCTGCTTGCCCAACAAACAGGTCGCAACTCTGACGGAACTGTTTGCGCACCGAAGAAACTCCGGGGCTTCAATTGGGCTGGCCATGCTGTCAACAACCGATCCAGAGACTTGTTTTGAGGACACCCCTTTTTGGGGGTGGTTCAGAGCAAGGTTTTAAGGAAGCCACATGTTTTTGAGGTCAACCGGATGCCAGCCATGGCGAGGGAGATTGCCGTAAGACAGCTGTCTGGGGAGGAAGACTCATTCGTAGTGTCCGCCCACACGACCATCCGTGAATTCAAGAGGCAGCTGCACGCGTGGCTTCCCTGCGAAGATGAATCCAAGCGCAACATGAGCTCGGTGGAGGTGGTTGTTGGAGACAAGCACCTATTGAACAAAGAGGAGCTAGTGTCAGAGGCCATTCCAGGTGCAGAAGTCCTAGCTTTCCTCAGCATCCAGCCGGTAGTGTGCTCAAGCTTCCAAGCCTCCAGCTGCGAAGTGGAAGATTTGTTGGTTGTGGAGATTCCCGGAGACGTGATTGCGATTGATGATGATGCCTTCAAAGGCTGCAGCTCATTGGCAAGCGTGTCCATTCCCAACTCCGTGACTGGGATTGGAGATTATGCGTTTGCAGGCTGCAGCTTATTGCCAAGCGTGACCATCCCCACCTCCGTGAATGTCATTGGAGATTGTGGCTTCAGAGGCTGCAGCTCATTGGCAAGCGTGACCATTCCCAACTCCGTGACTGAGATTGGAGACTGGGCCTTTCACGGCTGCAGCTCATTGACAAGCGTGACCATTCCCAACTCCGTGACTGGGATTGGAGATTATGCCTTTGCAGGCTGCAGCTTATTGCCAAGCGTGACCATCCCCAACTCCGTGGATGTCATTGGAGGTTGTGCCTTCAGAGGCTGCAGCTCATTGGCAAGCGTGACCATTCCCAACTCCGTGACTGAGATTGGAGACTGGGCCTTTCACGGCTGCAGCTCATTGGCAAGCTTGACCATTCCCAACTCCGTGACTCATGTAGGAGATGGTGTCTTTGCAGACTGCAGCTCATTGGCAAGCGTGACCATCCCCAACTCCGTCATTGGGATTGGAAACTTTACCTTCAGAGGCTGCAGCTCATTGGCAAGCGTGACCATTCCCAACTCTGTGACTGGGATTGGAGATCATGCCTTTGCAGGCTGCAGCTTATTGGCATGCGTGACCATTCCCAACTCCGTGAGGTATATAGAAAAATATGTATTCGAAGGCTGCAGCTCATTGGCAAGCGTGACAATTCCCAACTCTGTGACTGAGATTCGGGAACATGCCTTTCAAGGTTGCTGCTCATGGGCAAGCGTCACTATTCCCAACTCTGTGACTGGGATTGAAGATTATGCCTTTGCAGGCTGCAGCTTATTGGCAAGCGTGACCATCCCCAACTCCGTGAATGTCATTGGAGATTGTGCCTTTGAAGGCTGCGGCTCATTGGCAAGCGTGACCATTCCGGACCCCGTGACTGAGATTGGAGATTATGCCTTTACAGGATGCAGCTCATTGGCAAGCGTGACCATTCCCAACTCCGTGACTGGGATTGGAGATTATTCCGTTGCAGGCTGCAGCTTATTGGCAAGCGTGACCATTCCCAACTCTGTGACTGCGATTGGAGATTGTGCCTTCAGAGGCTGCAGCTCATTGGCAAGCGTGACCATTCCCAACTCCGTGACTGGGATTGGAGATCATGCCTTTGCAGGCTGCAGCTTATTGGCAAGCGCGACCATCCCCAACTCCGAGACTTGTATCGGAGAAGGTGCCTTTGAAGGCTGCATCTTCCTTTTGGAGTCAGATGGGACATGAAGACATTTGTAGCTTGGAGTATGGCGACAATGTTGCTAATGCGGGTTTCCAACCCCCAGTTTGTAGAACATGCGATCCCCGGGTTCCTAATTTTCGGAGTTGCCCCCATGTTGCCGCACGCTTGCGCGCCCGAACTTGGCGACAAGCCCTTCGAAAGCGCGACGCTTGGCCCCGGAGCCGTTTCGGTCACATGATATTCCCATATGGCCGTTTCGGTGATTCCGACAACGGCCGTGATCTGGTACGGCGCCAAAAAGAAAGTAGGGGGCGGGCCAGGGCGGAAGGCGTCGGAAGTGTAATGTTTCTTTGCGAATCATGGAAGATCAAATGGGTGGAGTTCATGGAAACGCAGGGGTGATCTTTTACAGACAAGTCCGGACTTGTTTGGGACATCCTAGGTGCAACGATCCAAGGGCCCCGGATGTGCCCTGACCCAACAAGCTCAACACTGGGGAAACGAGCTCTACTGTCTCACTCATGAAGGTTCAATACAAGGGTATTTCGTATTTTCAGCTGAGCGCCCAAAACCCCGAAAGGGCCGTTTTTGGAGGTGGTCCTGCCTTGTTTAGCTAGGGTTGTGACCCACTCGTCGGCGGACAAATCGACTTGTCTGGGCCAACCCACTCAGGAAGTGAGATATGGGCGGGGGTAGTTGGAGAATATCGAGTGGGTGTGACTTTCTGGGTTGCATTTCGGCAACGAGCGTTCGCCCTTGAAGATGGAATATCCTCCACTGTTTCATGAAAGTGCACGTTCGGCCCTTCAAGACGACGTTTCTAGAAGGCGAGCCTGCACACTTTCACGTTGGGAGGCCATTGTCTCCATGCTCAATGATTTGGATCGGCGTACTTTATGCTGTCACGCTGGATTCTAAGTGCCCCCCCTCGCCCCGGTTTACCTGGATGTTGAACATACACTGTCGGTAGGCGCTGCCATTGGTTCCGAAGCAACGGAGGTTAGTTCCCTTGGCTAGAACCAACTTTGTTGGTGAACATCCCGAGAATGAAGCAGAGTTGGCTCAATTGCTGCTTGCCCAACAAACAGGTCGCAACTCTGACGGAACTGTTTGCGCACCGAAGAAACTCCGGGGCTTCAACTGGGCTGGCCATGCTGTCATTAACCGATCCAGATACATGTTTTGAGGACACCCCTTTTTGGGGGTGGTTCAGAGAGAGGTTTTAAGGAAGCCACATGTTTGGGAGGTCAAACGGATGCCAGCCATGGCGAGGGAGATTGCCGTAAGACAGCTGTCTGGGGAGGAAGACTCATTCGTAGTGTCCGCCCACACGACCATCCGTGAATTCAAGAGGCAGCTGCACGCTTGGCTTCCCTGCGAAGATGAATCCAAGCGCAACATGAGCTCGGTGGAGGTGGTTGTTGGAGACAAGCACCTATTGAACAAAGAGGAGCTAGTGTCAGAGGCCATTCCAGGTGCAGAAGTCCTAGCTTTCCTCAGCATCCAGCCGGTAGTGTGCTCAAGCTTCAAAGCCTCCGGCTGCGAAGCGGAAGATTTGTTGGTTGTGGAAATTCCCGGAGACGTGATTGCGATTGAGGATGATGCCTTCAAAGGCTGCAGCTCATTGGCAAGCGTGACCATTTCAAACTCTGTGACTGGAATCGGATTCGCTGCCTTTGAAGGCTGCAGCTCGTTGGCAAGCGTGACCATTCCCAACTCCGTGACTCAGATTGGACAGAGTGCCTTTGCAGGCTGCAGCTTATTGGCAAGCGTGACCATCCCCAACTCCGTGACTGAGATTGGAGACTGCGCCTTTCACCGCTGCAGCTCATTGGCAAGCGTGACAATTCCCAACTCTGTGACCGAGATTCGGGAACATGCCTTTCAAGGTTGCTGCTCACTGGCAAGCGTCACTATTCCCAACTCCGTGACTGGGATTGGAGATTATTCCTTTGCAGGCTGCAGCTTATTGGCAAGCGTGACCATTCCCAACTCTGTGACTGCGATTGGAGATTGTGCCTTCAGAGGCTGCAGCTCATTGGCAAGCATGACCATTCCCAACTCCGTGAGGTATGTAGAAGAATGTGTATTCAAAGGCTGCAGCTCATTGGCAAGCGTGACAATTCCCAACTCTGTGACCGAGATTCGGGAACGTGCCTTTCAAGGTTGCTGCTCACTGGCAAGCGTGACCATCCCCAACTCCGTAAATGTCATTGGAGATTGTGCCTTCAGAGGCTGCAGCTCATTGGCAAGCGTGACCATTCCCGACCCCGTGACTGAGATTGGACAGTGTGCCTTTGAAGGTTGCAGCTTATTGGCAAGCGTGAGCATTCCCAACTCCGTGATTGGGATTGGACACTTTGCCTTCAGAGGCTGCAGCTCGTTGGCAAGCGTGACCATTCCCATCTCCGTGACAGAGGTAGGACATGGTGTCTTTGCAGACTGCAGCTCATTGGCAAGCGTGACCATTCCCAACTCCGTGAATCTCATTGAAGATTGTGCTTTCAGAGGCTGCAGCTCATTGGCAAGCATGACAATTCCCAACTCTGTGACCGAGATTCGGGAACATGCCTTTCAAGGTTGCTGCTCACTGGCAAGCGTCGCGATTCCCAACTCCGTGACTGGGATTGGAGATTATTCCTTTGCAGGCTGCAGCTTATTGGCAAGCGTGACCATTCCCAACTCTGTGACTGCGATTGGAGATTGTGCCTTCAGAGGCTGCAGCTCATTGGCAAGCGTGACCATTCCCAACTCTCTGACTGCGATTGGAGATTTTGCCTTTGCAGGCTGCAGCTTATTGGCAAGCGCGACCATCCCCAACTCCGAGACTTGTATCGGAGAAGGTGCCTTTGAAGGCTGCATCTTCCTTTTGGAGTCAGATGGGACATGAAGACATTTGTAGCTTGGAGTATGGCGACAATGTTGCTAATGCGGGTTTCCAACCCCCAGTTTGTAGAACATGCGATCCCCGGGTTCCTAATTTTCGGAGTTGCCCCCATGTTGCCGCACGCTTGCGCGCCCGAACTTGGCGTCAAGCCGTTCGAAAGCGCGACGCTTGGCCCCGAAACCGTTTCGGTCACATGATATGGCCGGTTCGGTGATTCCGACAACGGCCGTGATCTGGTACGGCGCCAATAAGTAAGTGGGGGGCGGGCCAGGGCGGAAGGCCTCGGAAGTGTAATGTTTCTTTGCAAATTATGGAAGATCAAATCAAAATGGGGTCGCGCCGCGCCCACACAAAGTTTCCTCTTGACTCAACAGAGGGTGGAGTTCACGTGAAACGCAGGGGTGATCTTTTACAGACAAGTCCGGACTTGTTTGGGACATCCTAGGTGCAACGATCCAAGGGGCCCCGGATGTGCCCTGACCCAACAAGCTCACCACTGGGGAACGAGCTTACTGTCCCACTCATGAAGGTTCAATACAAGGGTATTTCGTATTTTCAGCTGAGCGCCCAAAACCCCGAAAGGGCCGTTTTTGGAGGTGGTTCTGCCTTGTTTAGCTAGGGTTGTGACCCACTCGTCGGCGGACAAATCGACTTGTCTGGGCCAACCCACTCAGGAAGTGAGATATGGGCGGGGGAATATCGAGTGGGTGTGACTTTCTGGGTTGCATTTCGGCCACGAGCGTTCGCCCTTGAAGATGGAATATCCTCCACTCTTTCATGAAAGTGCACGTTCGGCCCTTCAAGACGACGTTCCTAGAAGGCGAGCCTGTGCACTCCATGCTCAATGATTTGGATCGGCGTAATATATTCTGTCACGCTGGTAAACCACCCTGCAGTTCGCACCTTCTAAGTGCCCCCCCCCTTGCCCCAGTTTGCCTGGATGTTGAACGTAGGTGCTGCCACGGTCATGGTTCCGAAGCAACGGCGGTTAGTTCCCTTGGCTAGAACCAACGGTGAACATCCCGAGAATGAAGCAGAGTTGGCTCAATTGCTGCTTGCCCAACAAACAGGTCGCAACCCTGACGGAATTGTTTGCGCACCAAAGAAACTCCGGGGCTTCAACTGGGCTGGCCATGCTGTCATTAACCGATCCAGATACATGTTTTAAGGACACCCGTTTTTGGGGGTGGTTCAGAGCGAGGTTTTAAGGAAGCCACATGTTTGGGAGGTCAAACGGATGCCAGCCATGGCGAGGGAGATTGCCGTAAGACAGCTGTTTGGGGAGGAAGACTCATTCGTAGTGTCCGCCCACACGACCATGCGTGAATTCAAGAGGCAGCTGCACGCTTGGCTTCCCTGCGAAGATGAATCCAAGCGCAACATGAGCTCGGTGGAGGTGGTTGTTGGAGACAAGCACCTATTGAACAAAGAGGAGCTAGTGTCAGAGGCCATTCCAGGTGCAGAAGTCCTAGCTTTCCTCAGCATCCAGCCGGTAGTGTGCTCAAGCTTCCAAGCCTCCAGCTGCGAAGTGGAAGATTTGTTGGTTGTGGAGATTCCCGGAGACGTGATTGCGATTGATGATGATGCCTTCAAAGGCTGCTGCTCACTGGCAAACGTGACCATTCCCAACTCCGTGACTCAGATTGGAGACTGGGCCTTTCACGGCTGCAGCTCATTGACAAGCGTGACCATTCCCAACTCTGTGACTGCGATTGGAGATTTTGCCTTTGCAGGCTGCAGCTCATTGGCAAGCTTGACCATTCCCAACTCCGTGAGGTATATAGAAAAATATGTATTCAAAGGCTGCTGCTCACTGGCAAGCGTCACTATTCCCAACTCCGTGACTGGGATTGGAGATAATTCCTTTGCAGGCTGAAGCTTATTGGCAAGCGTGACCATTCCCAACTCTGTGACTGCGATTGGAGATCATGCCTTTGCAGGCTGCAGCTCATTGGCAAGCGTGACCATCCCCAACTCCGTGAATCTCATTGAAGATTGTGCTTTCAGAGGCTGCAGCTCATTGGCGAGCGTGACAATTCCCAACTCTGTGACCGAGATTAGGGAACATACCTTTCAAGGTTGCTGCTCACTGGCAAGCGTCACTATTCCCAACTCCGTGACTGGGATTGGAGATTATTCCTTTGCAGGCTGCAGCTTATTGGCAAATTTTGTGACCGAGATTCGGGAACATGCCTTTCAAGGTTGCTGCTCACTGGCAAGCGTCACGATTCCCAACTCCGTGACTGGGATTGGAGATTATTCCTTTGCAGGCTGCAGCTTATTGGCAAGCGTGACCATTCCCAACTCTGTGACTGCGATTGGAGATTGTGCCTTCAGAGGCTGCAGCTCATTGGCAAGCGTGACCATTCCCAACTCTGTGACCGAGATTCGGGAACATACCTTTCAAG